GGGGGAGGGACGGAGGGGGGGGGGGAGGGACAAAGGTCAGGGAGGCAGGAAGGGAGGCAGGAGAGTCCAGGAAGCCAAGGGAAGGGGGAAGAGAAAAGGAAGGGAGAGAGGGAGGGGACGGGACAAGGAAGGAAAGCAAGGACGGTAGAGGAAGAGACAGAGTAGGGAGAGCCTGTAAAGTCAGCAGGAAGAATTGTCCATGGGTAAAATTCTTAAGAATGTACAACAACTTTGAAGGTTTTCTCTCCAACTCTTCATATATAAAAGACAAAAAAGACGTTGTGAAAAATTGTTTTCTAATACCTGAAATGGACTGTGAGGCTCAGCCAAAGTGTAGCCATGTTTTTTGTACACTTTATGGGACCCAGAAGCTCAAAGCCAAACATGCACGGCCGGGAGATGACAGCTGCCCTGTGACCTCAACTTCTGTGCCACGCCAGAATCATGGGAAGCACGTAGATGTCCTCACACCTGATAAAGGGAGCACATGCAGCCAGGGGACCTTTACTCCTGGGAGGAAGATGGTGATGGTGGTCATGGTGGTGATGATGATGGTGACGTTGGTGATGGTGGTGGTGGTGATGATGGTGATGGTGGTAGTGATGATAGTGGTGGTGGTTGGTGGTGGTGATTGTGATCCCGGTGGTGGTGGTGGTGATTGTGATCCCGGTGGTGGTGGTGGTGATTGTGATCCCAGTGGTGGTGGTGGTAATGATTGTGATGGTGATGATGGTGGTAATGATGATAAAAACCTTGAAATGCAGGTTGAGCCCTCAGCAGAACTCATAGGCCTCTGGTTTCTGTGGTTCCCTGGGCAGGTTTGCACAGTGCCAAGAATCTCACGGGTTTATCCAAGGCAGGACTGCTGCTGTATTCCCTGTCCGCTCCCGGCCGTCCTTCATTATTTACAAAAATAATCACCGCTTATCCCCCTCGCAGTACCTTTCTTTTTTGTATTTTATTTACTTATCTTTATTTTTGTGTATATGTCTTACCTGCATGTATGTAACTGCACCCGTGTCGTATCGTGCCCACGCAGACCAGAACAGGACATGGGATCCCTCGGAATTGGAGTTAGGGAGCCACCGTTAGCCACCTTATGGGTGCTGGGACCCTAGCCCAGGTCCTCTGCAACAGCAGCCCGTGCTCTTAACCACTGAGCCATCCTTCCAGCCCCTGCAGTGCATTTCTTTAAGAGAACTTGAATTCAGGCTTGCTGTCCCACCCGAAATCCTTGAACAAAGCTGCTTGCTTTACTCTGCCTCACAGTCAGGAAAGAAGAATGTCTTCTCCACTGCGTTC